TGGGCTATTGCTTATTTATGAGGAGTGGGCTACCTTTAACCTATCACAGGCCAGTTTGTCGTTTATGGGTTCAGTCCTACAGAAACTTAGGTTTGACCACTGTGGCCTTGGGGGGAGGGAAACTAAAGTTAAGAGCATGAGGTCATATTAAGAGCCAAGAAGAACCTGGAGAATACAGCCTGGGATGGCGGCATCAGGTCCCTAACACTTACACCCTTTGAAGCAACCCATTTTCATATGATTTACACTGCTTATTACAGGAATTAGTTAAACAAATAATAGTTCCTTGATATGGATAAATACATATAAGTATTTGACTGGTGGTAGGATTATGACAAATTCAAAATTTTCTTTAAGTTGATCCCATTGTAGGCCACCAACTGAGAAAAGTTTCTGGATGGAAGAGACAGACTAGCCATGCAGAAAGCTTTTAGCAAATCAAATTTACATGCACAAATCTTGATTTAAATGATTCCAAAAGACTCAGTATAGCAGTTTGACTAGAGCAGAAATGGAATATGATGCAAGGAGGAAGAGGGCTAGCAATAGTTCCAGAAAGAGGTATTGTGCCAGCTGTCCAGAAGGACGCTGGTGTCCAGAAGGGTCTGGGGTTCAGGCTGAGTAGCCTGCGCCCAAAGCCCTATGAGGTCTTGTGGGGTCAGTCAGTCAGTACAAAGAACAGTTGGCCTTTTGATTTGTTAAATTCTTTCTAATAGTTTTGGTGCTGTCAAATAGTTCTGCTAATTCAAAGGCAAAACCATTTGTCCTTGTTTTCCTGTGTCTGTTTGGCTTGCTGGGCAAAGCAGCAGCTGGGGCTGCTGTGCTATACTGCATTATGCAATAGGCCTTCAGAGGGCCCAGCCACCTCTTTCCTTTAAGAAACAAAACACAAAATTCTTCTGCTTTGTTTTGTTTGGCTTTCAGGCCAGTAATTTGCATCTCATTTGCGAGCCATCTCTCCCTCATTGTTTTGGCTAAGTCCTGCTCTATGAATCTGACTCTGGCTTCTGGCCTTATTGTGTATGAGCTTTAATTGTGTTTGGTTTCAGACGTGTTTCTCCCTGTCTTTTCCTGTCTTCCCCACCTCCACCCCATAGTAAACTTGGGATTCAATCTTATTTGGGGAAAGAAATTTTTTTTTTTTTTTTTTTTTTTTTT